GCACTCAACTTTTTAACGCGGTTTCTGGAAATTTATTGAGATGAGCGACATAATCCTTGGATTGTCGGCTTTTATGTATTGGATTCTTAAGGAGATTAGCTCAGTAATTTACTTTTATTGACTTTGGATGAATGGATTAGGTTTTGGACTAGTCTAATTACTAGTAATCTTGTATTTCACATAAGATTCTTTTTAAAATTATTTATTTAAGTTCAAAATTATTGAAATTCTGAGCTTATGTGCACGAATTTGAGCTTAACTGAATAGAAATCATTGAATTGAGTGATATATTTTTGAAAAACTTAACCTGCATGATTATATGATTGAATGCCAACCCAAGATGGTATCTAAGGGGTCGTTCACTTATGACGTTGACGTCCAACATTTGGGGGGGGGGGGGGGGGGGGGAGTCTAGGATTTTGTGACAACTCAAATAAAGGAAATTTTTTAAACCAGAAATTTTGTGACAGAGGTGGGAGGGGGTCTCGAAATCAAGTTTTTTGATGGACGCCATAAGTGAACGGCCCCTAATCCATAATTAATCATTCTAAAAAACAATTTAAATAAGTGATACAAATTAAAGGATCTAGAAAAAATCACATTTTCAATTCCGAACGCAAATATTTGATTAGACATTTATATTAAGGGTTTTAGAATTATGCAAATCATTCCATACCAACGACTGCAAACAAAGAAAACTTCAGTTAGATTCGAAAAATTCAAACTGAAATTCGAAAAATTTCGAACTGTTTCGAACTATTAAATGTTTTAAAAAATAAATGATCGTTAGGGAATTAATAAAAATATATTTATTATAGTTATTTTTTTAAGCAAAATTTTTCCTTCTATATACCAATCGACTTTGAAATTGTAATTTTACTCTAAATTCAACAAAAACTTTTAATAATTTATCAATTGTATCTTGACAATGTTCAAAATCGACTTCAATTTGTGCAATTACTGTATTAATGAATTTCTGGTTAAAGGAAGGATCAGAACATAAGGTAAAACAATTAAGCTGTCTATAAATAAATTCAAGAATACACAAGAAATGTTTTTTTTCACAGTAATATTCAATATTATGCAATTTAAGAAATTCAATCCACTTATCTTTATGCACAGAGCTTTTTGAAAGTTTAAAACAAAGGTATTTTATTGGTTTTCTTTCCTTTACAACCAGTAATTACACAATTTCTGACCATTTTAAAAAAATGAAATTTTATAAATTCAATAAAGACCAAGAAATGTAAACAAATATTTTCAACGGAAATTTTAAATTCAAATCAAGTTCGGAAATGAAGTACCTATTTCCGAAAATGAGTTCTTGTTTGCAGTCGTTGGATTCCATATTAACCAAACCAAGACTCTCTTAAAAGCCTTTATCATTACCACAACACAGAATCTCTCAGTAGCCAATAACATCTTAAACATTCAATTATTAACTTAGCATCGTCAAGAATAATGCGCCTTAACATCTCACCCATAAAGAATTTAATAAGCTAGTTTTCATTATATTTTTTTCAAAAGCGGCATATTTGGCTTTGAACCGCTACCGAACAAAGCGCATATCTCACTAATAGCGCAATAACAATACCATATTTTAGAGTCATTTGACTGTTTCTCTCTGTGCATTTTACGCGATATATTGGGTATATAATGGAAGTCTTGCTCGTAAGAATAAAAAAAAAACTGGGAGACAATGTTGAAACATTAATTGGAAGAGAGAATGAGAAAACAATAATGACAAGCAATTATGGAGCATTGCAAGTTGGGTAGGAAAACTATCCTTGAAAGCGATAGTTTACGAAAAATTGGTTATTGTGAAGTGAAGCGAGCACAAGAAGAAGCGACAATGCATGGGATAAGTTGATGATGATATTATAATTTCATTTATCGCTTTCTGTTTGCATTAAACGATTCTCAGCGTATATAATTAAGAAATTCAAGTCGGAGCGGAGCAGAGAGGGGAAAAAAAGACATAAAGTTCGGTGTTCGTTTGCTCATTTTTAAGACACATTTGATAACGCAATCAAATTCATTTCGATAAATTGATTCTTTAGGTAATTTCTAAAGCATTATCATTCCACTCTTAACTTTTTCTTTTTATTTTTGTGTCTTGGTCGTAATCAAAAGAAGCGTTGATGAGAATGAAGAAAGGAACGAGAAAACCAGTCGCATCTTGCCACTATTAAAAATTTGTCGGGGTGAAGAAAGGCAAGGAGAGAGAAATATAAATATACATAAAAACGAAGATGATGAAACAAAATTAAATTTATTCCCTTTTCTGAACTGCATTATTGAATTTTATTCTTATTCTTTTCTCATTTCTTTATCGAATATCTTCCTTTTGTGAAGAGAGATTTTTGCCGCAAAAAAAAAATACTTATAATGTGTATTATATATGGGAGAATGTGTGTATATGGGATGAGATACATCTAAAGCCACACATATATGTGTCCGTAACTTATAAATGAAGAAACTTATTCAATTTTATTTTTATCACCGTAACAGTAAGCAATATGTGGTGATCATTTTGTTGGAGGATATTGCAGGTCTGGATGAGCTTTGTTTTATGGATGAGGACTTTTTGGAAACCAATCTATTCAATCATTATAATAGGAAATAATGAACTTACTTTTGATAATAGTTTAGATTGTAGCTTTAATTCAAATAATGAGCTAAATCTTGTCAAAGACCGAATATAGATCGAGGCAGGCAGCCTCAAATTTACAAATTTTTCCAAATCTTAAATTGAAAGCTAAAACGAGGCAGAAACTGTAAATTTAAATCTAGTCAAATCCTTTGAATGTTACATAACTTGAACAACACGATGAAAAATTGTGAACTCCTGAAACAACTCGTAAATTCCCATAAATATCATCACCAAGATCGTTTGTAATAAAAAATGTGGCTTCAGAATTTATAATGACTTTTAGCCACTTTTGGTCGATTTTGTCAATGTAAGAACTTTTGTGCTTCTTTGTCTAAATGTGTGAACATTCTCAGAGAGTTGTTTTTAGAGTCAACTCCCATCGAATGAAAAATTTCTTCAAATTACTATAGGTCCTCGATTAGAGTAGATTCAATTTGAATAGATTCGATTTGAGTAACGAGAATTAATGAATAGAAAATTTAAAAAATAATTTGTAACGGACGTTTTTCATACAAAAAGTAAATAATTCGATTTGAGTAGATTCGACTTGAATAGGATTTTTTTGGAACAAAACACCTTCTCAAATCGAAGACCCCCAGTTCTATTGCATTTTAAAAAAGTTTTATGATTTTGTTTACATTTACAAAAAATCTAGGTCCAAAAACCTCTAGTTACGTCCTTGAAGCTAAAAACTGGATGAAATACCTTCTTCTGATTGTCTTAAAATGAAAAAGTATAGAGCCCCAACGTTCAGTTCTATAAAAACTATTACCAGAGCATAAATGCATGCTTATTAAGAGACAGTGAAGACATCAAACCATAACGAATTAATAAACATTACTCAAAAAAATAAATTTCACCCTCGATCATCTCATTTACCCAAATTATCTAGGACATTTTCATGAAGAGTTACTTTCTCTCTTTCAAATGACACATTTAAGTCACCATAGAGTAGCAGTAAATGCGCTTCAGTCACCTGATTAATGAATGATAATTCTTAATAAAATATTTTTAAATATCTCTCGTCCTTTTACAATCTGCCGAAATGTCTCGAGAGAAATTTCAATTTTTTTTATCTTTCAACATTCAAAGAATTTTTTGGTTTCATTTATGTCTCTCCCGAATAACGACGTGAAGGAGAAAAAAAATGTTCCACCGAATTAAGATTTTGATCATAAAAATGATTTCATTATTTCTCCTGAATAAGAAACTTGATATTTGTTTTAATCTTTCCACGTTATTTCTTTTAATGTGAACATATTAAAGTGAAAGGGAGAGATATCGAAAAGGAATTAAAGAAGAAATTGAAATTAAGTCACATAAAGTTGACACGTTTTTGATATTCTCATTTTTTTAAGTCTTCAATTTCCTTTCTATAGTTTATGATTTCTTAATTCTAATTCGGACTTTTCTTTTAAAATATTAAAAATCGAAGAAAAAAAAAATCTTTCGGGGCTAACGAAACCGCAAATGAGTGAGATACTGGTTCTTATTTTCTCACAGACGAATGAAGCCATTCAAAACTACCGAGTGAGTGGCAATAAAGAACTGATAGAAAGAGTCTGTGAAGGACTATTGGTATGAGATGCTATGTGGCGCATTTAATGGTGATTAGATAATTTTTAATAAATTATAATATTGACTACAAATTACAGGAGTTCGCTACTTTAGCCAACACTGTTCGAAGATTACAGGTCAAAATATTGGTCGTACAGACCAATTCTAATCCATGACCTCTTATTTGACGCCTATAACTAAGGCGTGGAAACTATCTCAAATATCCCAAAAATATTCAAAATAATCCCTGAGCCTGTATGCATTAGAATTGAGATATCCCATTATATCCTGAAATTACACGTCCAATACACTTGGAATATAAGTTGGGATATCTTTATTATCGTAATATTTTTGGGTAGTTTCCACGCTTTGCCTATAACTAGCTCTATCGCTGGTTAAAAACTCATTATTGGGCCATATAAATTGCAGCAAACAGGATTAAACTATACCTGATGCCTGCAGACAAACTGCCAATAATAACCTCTATTCCAAATAATCTTACTCATTCCAATTTCCCCCTTAAACAGCCTCTTCTGCGTACATTTTAAATGGTAAATCACGCTTGAATATTCATGGATTTAAATCTATTAGATATATACATTTAAAAGACATGAGACATAAGCCGATGTCCACTAATGTCAGATTAAAAAAAAATTCAAATATCTCTATTAAATAGAAATAGTAGATTGAGCGGCATTTTACCAGATTTGAAGGAATGAAATCAAACCAAGAATGAAATGAGTTAAGAAAAAGCGATAGAATTAATAATGAAAAAATGAATAAAACTCACCTTTATATGAGTCATTCGATGATAATAAAGATTGGAACTAGCTGTGAAACGTTTTCCACAAACTTTACATTCTAATTTATAGAGATTGAAAAAAAGAAGAGATTTTTAATTATTTTATCATTAATGAATATGTTTTATGTCCAAAAATAGAACTTACGATGTGGTTTTTCACCTACAGATGTTGATTTTGAAGCAGGAAAGGAAGAGATAAAGAAAAGAGAATTGGAGTATTAAATTAATAATTCCAACAAAAAAAAATAATTTAAATATTTGGCAAAGTATGTACCACTATGGATTCGACGGTGGGTGTTGAGTGAACTTGATGTACTAAAGCCTTTCGAACATACCGCACAGACATGAGGCTTCTCTCCTGTAAGAATTGTAAGCACACGTTTATAAATTTCTTATGAATTTGTCCGAGCAGCACATCGCTAAGAGCTCAATCATTTTGATGCAATGAAGTCTGATCATGACATGGCAATTTCATGACTAATCAGAATTTAGTTCAGTGGCGGTTAAATGAAGATAAAGCTACTTGTACAAGACTAACAACAATTTAACCGTCACAGTTACAAATTGATTGGTTCCTGATGAAGTTTTAAGTCTTTCTGCTTCCTTTATTTTTGAACTAAAGTGTCGTGAATGCACATTCAACAAACCTAAGTCCAAGTTCTGATCCAAACCATACCTTCTTGATATTGGACCAAAAACTATCACATTACCACTTGATAGTCATGTGCCGCTAAGGTTAAGCGTTAATCATAACCGAAAAATCCAAAGTAAGACATCCAGTAGATTACAACGTAAATTACAAAAAGTTTAAATCAATCAACAACATAAGACCTATATTTTGCACCCTGCCTCGAAAGCATTACAAGCTCCTTTGCATAATTATACATAAGAGGAATAACAAACTAATTAAAATATTAATCTAAAACAATTAAAGTCGATAGCTTTTCAGCAAGAGGAAGAAAATAAGGCAATAAGATTCCCGATTGAGGCGTGGAAACTATCCCAAATATCATATTTATCCCACATATCCCAAAAAATTCCAAAGCATGTATGCACGATAATAAAGATATCCCAACGTATCCTTAGTGTATTGGACGTGTAATTTCAGGATATGATGGGATATCTCAATTCTAATGCATACAGGCTCAGGAATTATTTTGAATATTTTTGGGATATATGTGATAAATTGGATATTTGAGATAGTTTCCACGCCTTGTTCTCGATTGAGGAACAGAAAATTAATTAATCAACAGTTAGTTGAGAGCGCGATGGTAATATAAATTACTTCAACAATACAGACAACAAATCATTGTATTGTACTATCAATGTTTGGAGCACACATGTAATAACAATCATTGTGGAGCAACGAAAACATGCCAACGAAAAATAAGAGTCGAAAGAAATGAGAATAGACAAATTAATTGAAGTTGAAAAGATTGATTATATGGCACGGGAAGTACTGGATGAATTGGGGGAATTTCGACTGATTGGAGTCGTTGAAAAAGAAATGATTTTTCTCTTTTCTTCGACTTTATATTTTTTTAACAACGATCAAGCGATTATATAAATCACAATGGATAGAGGAAATTCATCAATCAACAATAATCAATTGGACGTACCCGTGTGTGTTCGCATATGTCTCTTTAATAAGCTGGGTCGATCAAATGCTTTACTGCACACCTCACAAGGCAGCAAGGCACGCTCGCTTCTTGTTGGTCTTGATTTTGGCGTTGATTTAGGAATTATAGCGCTGTCCATTAAATCTCCAGTACTGCTGGCACCTGATGATTGAAGGGACTCGCCTGAGATTGACTTGTGCTCATCTTCTGATGGCGGTGAAATGGGTAGGAGAACTCGTGATAGGAGGGATAGTGATAAGTCTAGAGGTGAACCTGTGAAATAAGGAGAATGTTGAGTTATTAAAAGAATTTATGGAAGCATTACTTTTCCTCTAAATAATTGGAAAAAACATGGCACAATACTCAAAATTCAATAAGAGCCAATTAGTCAGGTATTTTGATCAAGTATCGCAATAAATCTTCATAAATGTTTGTTTATTACATGAAAATTCAATATTTGATCTCTTAAACGATTAAATACCCATTAACACGTGTCTATAATCATAAAATTACCACTTTCAAATTGCCTTATTTGTAGCTTTAATTATTAATTACACAATTTTCAAAGCTTTCAATTCTGCTCAATTTTTGCCTCATTTTTCGCATCAATTATTATTTAAATTTAATTTAACCGTTACACATTAAAAACAATATCAATTACGTGTAATTTAACATGGAACAATTAAATTTATGACTCAAATTTATCGAAATCTATATCTAGTGCTACTAAGCAATCCTTTTTCAATTATTCATGCCTCATTACACTCAACATACTCTATTTAATGATCCACTACGTACGTAATTTTTACATATATTTTTAAAAAATAAAACAATTTAAAGCATTAATTAAAAACCGAATAATCAAGAGCAAACACTCGTATATTTTGTCTTAACTGTTTGTTTTACATTTAAGTCTCGCTCATATAGTCATCGATAGAAAGTCATGGTATTGCCAGTAAAGTAGCAACAAAGAAAATTAATTTGCAAAATTAAGGTAAATTTGCCTTTAAGCGCAAGCGAACACATATGCTATTTAGAGACGATAGATAAGCTAAAGACTTCAAGTATGTATTTTTTTACTTTAAATCTTACATAAAAAATCTACATGTATTATATTAATTCCTTTTAATTAATTCCAATTATTCTAGGTTTAGTATTCTCGAAAGCTTCAGCATCAATATTGGCTGTTTAGCTGGTATTATACATAGTTGTTCCTTTAACTGAACTAATTAATTTCTTTCGTACTCTGTTTAACAGGCTTTCGTGGGAATGTTGGCTATGCAGCAGCTATGCAGTTGATTTGTCTGATTTTGAATTGTGCAATAAGTAAAATTTTCTGCATCATAAGTGTGTTCAGTAAAAAAAAATCTGCCTCATGAGTACGTTTAGTAAAATTTTCTGCCTCAAAAGTGCGTTTAGTAAATAATTTTGACACAAAAGTGCGTTCAGCAACATTTAAATAGCTCGGTTTCAATAATCTATCTTGATTTATTAACCGATGCACTTTAATTTTCCCGTTTTCAAGAACATTCCTTACTGATTCCAGCTCCTCAATCTACCGAGCATCTCAAAAATTCATTTCCATCCATTTACTCCATCTCACAAGCAGTGTTGGATCATTGGTTAAGTAAATATTTGAGAAATGCCGAAAAATTTCAGCCAACTATTCACCGAGTGCAAATCATTTTGTAACAAGCCAAAGCATTTACGTTCTTGATTTTACTCGGTGTACTGAAGTGGCTACAATTAATCTTAAATTACAACAAGCTTCGGAAGCAAAAATATGTTCGGAAAGATAAATGTACACAAAAAAGAAGAGAGAAACGAGCATCAAGAGGAGTAAAAAAAGGGTAAAAGAATTCTCTTAAGACAATATCAAAAATTGAAATCTACCGAAATATGTTCATAATTTCCAATTGCAGCCATGCACCAAAAATGTGCAAACATGGTATGCATTTCGAGACTCATAAAAAGCGGTTTTTGCTTCTTTGTTGTTTATTTCTTCTTACTTATTTTTTTAAAGCTTTGTTTTCTTTATGGAAGTAAGGTAACGAAAAACGAGGTAGCGGAGCGGTATGCTCTCTCAATGGCATAGATTAAATATGATATAGATGACATATTGGGATATTGATTGGAAATTCATGAGGAATTTCAATTGGATATGTTGACTGACTTATATGGGGATATACGTTGTAGCTTTGTCGAATTTTTTTCTGAGATTTTCACTCTTTTGAAGTTGTCTCGTGGATTTACAGTTTTCAAGACAATGGATCTTTTGGCACACACTTAATTTACATCAATAATTTTCTTCAACTAAAGCCATTAAACCCAGCCTTTATCCAATAAACATTCTGTGCCACATCTACCCAACTGAATCTTGATTACAATTATTTTTTAAGCCCAGATATCGATCAAACAAATATTACATAAAATGTAAAACACAAATCTTGATAAAAATTTCCTTTTTAGCGGCATTTTTACTTAACTAGAACATTTGATTCATGTATTTCTCTTTTTTTGTATATTCACCATGATACAATCAGCACTTATGTAAGCCTCGGCTCGTCTGTTTTGCTTTTAGTTTTATTTTTAACCAATTAATATTTTTAAAATCATTAACAAACAAGAAATTGCTTTCGATTTTTGTCTGAGTTGTAACAAAATAAAAAGAGAGAGAGAGAAAGAATGGAACTAAAAATGGACCTAGAGACGAGGAGTAATGCGCAATATTTGCTTGTAAGTTCAATATTACCATTTCTTATTGTGTCGAGTTTTTGCTGAGGGAATATTTTTTAAAATGCTGAGGAATTCAGATGAGTGAGAATGTGAGTTGGGAGTTCAAAAACGTATTTAATGAAAACTAATTTAGGAATTGAAATTTAATGATATTTTTTTATCAGTTTATATTGTGTTTTATTTAATTAGCTACGTTTAAAATTTTAGAAACAAATGTAAGCAATGAAATTTTTGCTTCCAGAGTGCGTTCAGTATTTTTCCGAATCAAAAGTGAGTTCAGTATTTTCTCGCTTCAAGAGTTCGTTTAGTATTTTTTCTCATTAAATGTGCGCTTAGTAAATGTTTGATTTAAGAGTGAGTTTAGTAATTCTTTGATAAAAAAGTGTGTTTTGTGATTTTTTGTGATACAAGAGTGTGTTTAGCAATTTTCTGAATTCAGTTTCTTTTTGTCTCAAAAAACACGTTCATTAAAATACCTTTTCCAATATTTGAAATCAAAAACACCAAAATTAATCTCAATCAAATCAAATTTCTTCTTTATCTATTCAAAAACGTGCAAATTGAATCGCGAACTTATAATTGGCCAATTCAAGGCGAGTAGCTTTAATAAAAAAAAATTTCGAGTTTGTCTATACGCACGGGGTAGACGTTGATCAATTAATTTGCATGATATTTTAATTAGCAAAAATATCTCAAACACAAAGTTTCAATTTTAATAATTTTTTTTCACAACAAGCCTGAATGAAAGGAAGTAGGAAATGTACGCGACATGAAACTTTACATTAACACTATCAAACTACTTAACTTCTAACCCCAATAATAAGCACCAAAAGTATTTAATTTAAGCAAATATTAAAGTCAAGCTGATTTGACTGTTTTAACCTCACTGCAAATTATTTAACGACAGTGACTAACTCAGCAGTGGTCTAGAAAGGGGTACGACGATGATTTTGGGTAATAAAAACCTTTAAAACATTGCTTTTACTTAGACGTTCTTATTGAGCTCAAAAGCACCCTCCGTCTCCATATTTTAATCTGACTACATTCCTGTGCATCACATTAAGCCATTCTGTCATTGTATGAGGCGACAACTTAGCAGCGACTAAGCCGATTTACATAATGTTATGAGCATGTTTTTTTGTTTTGTCTTCTTGTGGTTACCATTAGGAAGTCATAAAGAGCAAACCACGATACTCACCTTCCAATATTGAGTCCATTGTTTGTCGGTAAAAAGTATTTCTCATGCGAGAAAAGAATAATTCCTCAGGTCTCTCCGGTAAGTAATAGACAATGATCTCTTGATGCATGGGAATCGGCTTCACAATTTCATAAATAGGCTCGCCCTTGACTTTCGTACACACCATGTTTACCTTACAGGCGAAATGAGAAGTAAAAATTGTTTTATACATTTATTTTTAAATGACATTAATTGCAATGAATTACGAGAAAAGCTGACATTATACTTGATACAGCCTGCTCATTGTGTACATTTTGTGTAAATGATAAATCAGCTGCTTTTAATTGTTTCTTATTATTTAATGTGAAGCAGAAGAGAAGACAAAAAAAAATTGTTGTCATTTACCTGCGGTCCATATGAATCGTGTACTTTGAGGAAACGAATCCAATTACAATGACGCATCTTGCGGCCATCCGAGAATGTTATTTCATCATAAAGTCCAAATCTGTGTCGTATCTGAAATGAAATGTGATATATTGGTTGATTGTTGTTGGACATACTTTTTTTTTATAATGTCTTAAATGATTTTTAAATCAAGGCTGTTTTGTATATTTGTGGGAATATTGTGTAGGTGGAACTAAATTGTTGCTTTTATATATCGATAAACTCTATTAAAATTTGGATTTTTATTTTGTGTTTTATGGTTTCAGTGATTAAAACGATTGTGATTCTTATGGTATTTTTTTTTATTGATCTATTTATTGGTTCTTTTATGTTGGATAACAATGGCTTCAGATTGGCTTTTATAATAACTTTTTTCTTTAGAGTCATGGTTTTTAAAACGTTTCGTGACTACTTTTAAATGGGTTTAATATTAGAATTTAGAGAAAATTTTGTGAAACATTGTAAGGTGCACTATAAGATTTTTCTGATAAACTGATATGGACAAAGCTTTATAAAAAGTTAAATTTATTGTTGATGAGAATCAAACCTTTGTCCTAAAAAGCGTTCCATTTTTTTGGTCTGACATTTAAACCATTAAATTGAAAAGTCCGGGATGATTGTTTTTGGCATTTGTTGGTATATATTGTTGTTAGTATCTAGTCCCAAAGATAGGATTTTTTCTGATTTATAAATTCTAGGAGAAACAATTTCAAAATTCAAACTTAGCTTTTTCAAAAACCAAATTTATTTAATGCTCAAAAAATGATAAATTTCATAAATAAAATCAGTATAAAAACCAGAATCTACATCCTCACCAGAGACAACCAAACAAAAGCTCACCAGTAGACTCAGATCATTTCAACAAATGAACATCAAAACGTTTTATTACCTTCGAGCAATATCAAGTTTAATAATTTTATTTATTTTATATTCATTACCAATCTGTCTCATGGGAACTATACGGACTGTTATCTTTCAATTTCTACCTCCTTTTATTCTCCGACTATTTTTATTTCACATGCACCGCGACTGCATCAAGCATAAACATGAGTAAAGTTCCACTTACATCATTTCTAATGATGTTTTTATTTATACAAATATGTGATAATCTTAACTGATAGAATCATAAAAAAATATATATATGTATAAATCTAGATGAGAATGCTTATTTTTTTATTATGAGAGGGTAATAAAAAGTTGAAGTAAAGAAATTGAAATCCACATAGAATTTTGAACCTGTACAGATGCGTTTTAATTTCTTTACGTAGACAAATTTACGCACATATTCATGTGGTGATCGTAAATGCCACGAATTTGGAGATTTATTGATTCATTTCAGATTATTGTTCTGGATTTATGATTGTTTTTAGATTTTTAAGGAGGTGTGGTGCTTATTTTGATCATTATGACCTTAGGACATAGATAATTAGATTCAGGCATTATAAAATTTAATTTTCTTAAATATTAAAACATTTTCGTTAACTGTTGAAAATTAAAACCTCAGCTATAGCTCGAAACATCCCCTAAAAATGCACAATAATTGACATTAACGTTTAAAATGCGCCTAAACCCATCAATACCCACCAATAATATCCAGAAATTTTTAATACACCACTTACCACTATGGAGATTATTTCGGTAATCAGAATAAAACCATAAAACCTTATGGCACAGTCAATTTTCCATCAAATGTCAAAATATTTAGAGAAATCAACGGAAAAAAATTAAGCCATAAATCTCACAGATCAATAAAAAAATTTGTCTTTCTCGCAGTGAAAAACGTCAAAAAGAAAGCCAATAACATTTTGAGTTGTTAATGCTGTAAATTACTGAGTTGTGAAGACATCACACAGGAATTATGGGATTCTTGAATACTCACAAAAATTGATTATAATGCTTTTCAAATTTCTTATAATCTCATGAGAAAATAAAATTTTAATAAAGGCAATTTGTGAATTATTATGGAATATTGGGATGGGATTGAGTTGGAACTGACGCGGTTTATGCTGATAGAATATTGTAGATCCAAGAAATTCAGAAAGGCAAGTTGTTAAAGAATGAAATTTAAAATTGGTTATTGCTAAGGTTTGAATCTTCTTAAGATGATTAAGTCACTTTTGATAACAACCATAATTAGACCTGAGCAGGAAATTTATGATTGATAAGGTTCAAATCTCAAATTTTACTTATTGTTGAAATTATTATGCTAGAATCAAATAAGCTGATTCTAAAGCTTAATTAAGTTCATAATTTGCAATAAGAAGCATACAAGCAAGAAGGAACATAATTAGATTGATTCCTAGAACGGACTGCCAACTCTGATTAAGATCCATCCATTAAAACCGCGCTAAAACAGCATCACTTAAATTCTCTAAACCATTTCCATGAATGGGACATAATCCATACACAATGTATCATAAGATTGAAGTGCTAATGTAATAAAGCATTAAGTAAAATATTGAACATCAAAGTTGTTGTACAAAACAGTTGAAAAATGGTCTATTGAAATAAGCACCATTGTTATAGAGAGATAATTGCTTTGTAATTTCATGTTACTAGCACTTCTGTCGTAGAGTAATGTTCTGTTCTCTCAATGATGGTCGTCGTCTTCATACACCAACTATAGAAAACAGCCACATTAAATTAAACGTAATGAATCAAAAATATTTTTTTTTTATAAAAGTGTAATGGATAAAAACGATGAGAAGATAAAAGAACAGAAACCATAAAAAATTTAATTACTCAATCATCACGCAACACATTTAAAATTGTCTTGAAGTTGGCAAAGATTATCTATTTATGAAATATATTTATATATATCATCAACACTCATACAGACATATGTCGTTTTAGTGCCTCCGGAGTGATATTGCTTCTTTATAAAGAAATAAAATTATTAATTGTAATTTTACGTTGGGTTGTTTAAGGAAAATGTGAGGTTATGATGGATTTTTTGAAATTTCTGAAAGCGCACGTCTACAAGTAAACAAGGGTGTGATACTGATGAAATGATCAAAATTGACCAAAAATTATCAAAAATGATCAATATGGAATTTTCAGTTCCGCACCCTTGCAAGTAAACCGAAATGTGCTTCCTAGGATTGCTAAATTATGTAGAAGCATGTCCGTGACATGATTGGTGATTTTAAATTTTTAAAAAAATATATATTTTTGAAAATCATGTAAATATTAATAAAATAATAATCGAATCTCAAAATCTTATTAAATCTAGCCATTAATGCACCTCATATCCACACAGCTCCCCAAACTTCACATCATGTTCTCAGGAAATAACATGATTCAAGAATTTTATTTTTGTGTGTGTCTCTTCAACACGGTATTTATGAATTATGGAACGCAATAAAATGAATAGAATTTTTTAAATCGTTGTAATTTGATGTCTTTTTCATAAAGTGATAGAGACTTAAAATCATATTTTTTCGAGCTTCCACCAATTTCAGATAATGTTCATCGTTTAATAATGAAATTGCCTTGAGATGTAAAATTTATGTTGTAATTTAAGTATTTTGTGTGATTTGCTGGCTGTTGTGGAGATTTTTTAGTGGTTCATAAGTTGGAAGTTCAGTCTTATGACAATAGTTCTTATAAGCCATTCTGAATGGTTCAACAATTTCCTTCTTGAATATCTTAAAAAAGCCAGTTTGTTTTAACATTTTAAACTGCTTCAAGTCTTAAAAATTTCATTACTCTATTCTCGTACTAAACTTGCCCAAATCTCATCAAAAAAATCTCAATTTGAAAGACAATGACCTGAACCAGTTTTATTTCCATCTATGTTTTTTACGGTTCAATTCGAAAATCCATAATGTCGATTTGAATGATATTTCTACTGTCAATTTTTATTACTACTCTCCAGTCATTCCATACGTAAAGGAATATATCTCAAAAGCCACATAACATAACAAAGTGATAAAATTGTCAAGATTTCAGTGAAACAGTCGCAACACAGAAATGATTTGTTGAATATAATTTATAACATCCATTCTACCTCATACTACATCTTCTATGATATCAATTTCATAGTTCTTAGTTTGTATAAACTTTATATAAATGTGTATCAAAACAACTTTCGCAATTATTCATATCAAATGCTACCTATTATAACGAGTTATTAAAACGATAGTGTGAAATTCAACACGATTTGCAGCTGCTATTGACGACCGACGTATGGATATCATTAAAGAGGAAAAAATTGTTCTTAAGATAAATCATTCTTTTGAGGATACGTAGGCTGAAGATTTTTTTAATATTGCATTGATTGAGAAGGTTGATACCGTTGGGGAAATTATTGTCTGATTTATGCAAATATTTCAGGAAGGATGTGTTGTTGATGGCGGTTTATAAGTGCAATAAAAGCTTCAATATAGCATGCTTAGGTAAGTAGAGTTAATGATACTTTTAAAATAGATTCTAGAACACTATTAAGTTTCAAAATTAGGGAATTTCATTTTAGGGAATCTCTGATAGTGTTGAATAAAACTGTGAGAGATGAAAAACAGAGTCAGGACTCTATGAGTCTCATACACATTAGTTTAAGTTTGTCTCGAGTACAATTCTGAATATTAAGATATAAATTGATTAAGATCCAAGCTCATATTTAAAGTTTAAGGTACCGACAATTGAAATCTATGGTCGTAAAAAGTTTACACTTCTTTTGCTACCGGGAATCAAACTTCAAAACAAAACTTACGTTTAAGTTTTTTTTGTGTGTTCTTGCCAGGGGGTCATTTTGTGCCCAGGCACCCCCCCCCCCCCCCCATTTCTCAAAAAATCCTGGCTACGCCCCTGGCTCTTGGCTCTCTAATTCATAAAAATAAATATAAATATAAAAATCTCTGACAAAAATCAGCACAAGGAACCGTCTCAACAAAAAAATTTTTCATATTCAACATCGTCTCCAACATCGGAAAAAGGCAGCAAGAGAAGAAAAAATCTCGTTATGCTAAAGATCTTTGTTATCAAATTTCTTTTAAACGACAAGAAGTGGTAGTAAATTTCAAGAATATCGACATGAAGGCAGAGAAACAGCAACAAAAGCCACATCAACCTCA